GTGTGGAAAGTAAACAGCGCAGCAGCGCTTAGAGGCAGGCCGTTCAGAGGCGCACAGCCGCGCCGCCCTACTCCGGGCCGTCAGGGTTTTGATTTTAGATGTCCGCAAGGCCTGCATTTTGTGTTGCTGCTCTACTCCCAGAATGCTGCAATGAAGTTGCAGCTTCAGGAAGTGGGGTCTAGCAGGGGTCCTGGGCTTGGGGGTGGTGTTGGCAGGACCCTGCTCCTTCCTTTTCCCTTGCTTCTGGCTGCCATGAGATGAATGACTGCCCTGGCATGTGCTCCCTGCCACACCATGCCACCTTGCTGTAGGCCGAGATGAAGCAGGGCCAACCTACCATGGCCTGAAACCTGCCAGGCTGAGGGAAATAGAGCTTCCTCTTGTTACCATGACGGACAGTCTGCAGTCTGTCTCTGAGAACCCTGACTCGAGGATTCTTCTCCTGGTATGGCTGACCTCTTTGCTTTTCCTGTTTTATTTCTTCACCCAAGACAGCTATTTTACCCCCTGACCTAAAATGCCACATTGGTACTCATTTTCCAGTTCACCACCTTCTTGCCTTATTTTTTGTTCTCAATCAGATACTGTTTCAATAACTTCCCTACTGCTGTGATAGAACACCAGAAACAAAGCAGCTTATAGAAGGAAAGGTTTATTTGGGGCTTAAGGTTTCATCACCACCAGGGCCGCAGGACTCGGGAACAGCACTGAAACAGCAGCCCAGAGCTCACATCCTGATTCACAAGCAGGAGGCAGAGAAGTGCACTGGGCACGACATGGGGCTTCTGAAGCCTCAAGTCTGCCTTTCTGGACACGCTTCTTCCCACAAGGCCACACCTTCTAACCCTTCCCAAACAGTTCCATCAACCAAGTATGTTGGTATAATGTTCATTCAAATGCTGGTTTCTCTACCCCACTATCTGGTTTCAGTCCTGACACTGCCTTGTGATGCTTATTCTGAACATTGCAAGTCTCACGTTTGTGTAAACTGCTTCAGTTTGTTCTGTTGCTAATAAGACCAACCAGCCAGTGCTGTGCAATGGGGAGAACAGGGTGGGGCATCCTGATCCAGAGGGAGGAGAAGGAAGAGAGCGGGAGGAGAGACGCGAGAGGAGAGGTCCTGAAAATACTAGGAGAGATGAACCAGACCTAAGACATGACTAAAAAACAAGTACAATGTGGGAGATCTGAATGGGAGGAAGCTATGCAGGCTTGGAGGTTTAGGATGGGGTAATTATTGCCCAGTGTGGTGCTCTAGGTTAATAAAACAAATCCTCGTCTCTGTGTGGTGATTTGGGTATACAGCTGGTTTAGCAATAACCACTGTTTAACTAAAAGATAAATCAATATTAAATATTAATAATCAACAGCACAATGAGTGAGTCTGGGGGTCATCCTCATTTAAACCACTGCAGATACCTGAGGACAAGAGCTTGTCCCCCCTTTCATATGCCGGTGCTCTATTTCCACATGCCACAGGTCTGTAAGGAGAGGCAGGGTCCTTGGGAAAGCCAGGAAGGTGGGCTAAGTCAGGAGCGGAAGGGCTGCCTCCGTGGCTAACGGTGCTGGCTGCTCTTGCTGAGCATCTGGGCTTGGTTCCCCCAAACCCACATTAGCTGTGGATTACAGGCACAAAGAGGCCTGCGATTCTCATCCCAGGGGCTCTGCTGGCCTCTCTGGCTCCTTCCTGTGGTACACAGACAGACAGACGCACGCACGCACGCACGCACACACACACACACACACACACACACACACACACACACACAGACATAAAATAAACAAGCCAAAAGTAACAAGGGTGAGTCCCAGCAGGCTAGGGCAGCACAGAGCTCATTCTCTTTTCTTCAGTCAGGACCTGGGTGGACGTCTTCTAGACAGGAGGAGCCTTGGTAAAAAGTGAGCAGTCTAAAACCTTCCTCTTGGACACAGAGCCTCTAGAACTGTAAGAAAGTAGGAGTCTGTCCATACTGAGGGACCAGCTCCCAGATCCTCCCTGGATGTCTGAAAATGGAGACAACACACACACACAGGCACACACACACACACACACACACACACACACACACACACACACTCGTGTACGTGCACACGTGGCATTTTCATATACACACTTGTGCTCAAATTTCATTTTTAATGTGGACACAATGATTTATTAAAAACAACAATAATAAAGTAAAACAATTATAACAATATACTGTCATGGGCTGTTTAAAGCTTGTGAAATGTATCCACATTTCTCCATTTTCAGAGTAGAGTTGGCCTCAGGTAAAGGAGGCCTCGGAAGGGAAAACACCACAGAAGCCTCCCTTACTAACGCTACCTACTGCAAGGTATTTTGCTGTGGTTTGGGAAGCGATAAACGTGCATTTCCTCGAGGCCTCTACCCACAGTGCTCCTTTCATGTGTGGCAGATGTGAAACTGCTCTGTTTACAGGGCTTTGTGTCCAAGGCAAACACTTGGTCACTTTTACCCAGCAAGCCCCATCTTTCCCTCTGCTCCAAGCAGCGTGCCAGCAAGCGTGAACACGGTTCTGAGACACAAGGAAAGCCGCTAGTTACCTCCTGCCTCTACGCTGCGTTCTGAGATCCCTTCAGCTGTCAATCTGTGGAGACTCTACCATCCCACGACCGCTTAGGTCTACTCACCAGGCCTCACTCCTCGGGCCTGAGCTCTGGCTTCTTGTCTTTCTTATCTCTTGCCTTTATCTGGTAGACTGAAGCAGAAACAGGCCGAGAGGTTATGCAACGGGAGCAAGGTTGCACAATTGATAAATAATAGAGTGAGGGTTCAAGCCCAGTTCAGCTTTGCCCTCAGACTCCACCTGCTCAGTGCTCTCCCTGTCTGGCCAGGATGGCAGTGCCCTGTAACGGGCATTTATGCAACTTTCCTACGACCACTACTCAGCCGTGAGTTCTCCAGGACACACTGTGAAGCTTTCCCATACCCTGGGCGCTGGTTAGCTCTTTTCAGTAAGAGATGGTGCCTGGAAAGCGGAAAACAATGGCTTCAGTGGTGCTGCTCCTTACTCCCTCTTAGGATGGGCGTGGGGACTCAGAGAGAGCCTACAGTAGGACGTGGTGGCTCTGAGGGATACACAGAACTAGAAGGAAGCCGTATGAGGCAGGCCTCGATGTCAGGGGTCTGGAGAGAGCTGGGGGAAGGCGCTGCACAGCCAGCACACTGGGCAAGGTGCTTCTTCAGGTTTCACTTTCTGACGGGTAAAGTAGGAAAGTGAGAGCGCCCCTCAAGGTTACTGCGAAGGACAATGAGGGAAGACATGTAAAAGGCTGGGTGTACATCACTGCATTATTAACATGATCTGAGAGTTCAGAGAGAGCTTCTCTGAGTTAACCTTCTCACAGAGACAACCTAAAACGCTGCTGTTCATCAAGAGTAATCCACTTTACAGCGCTGGAGTAGAACCCAACGCGGTTTAATCCTCCCAGGCAGGAGAATCAGGAGTTTAAGGCCACATTACGGCTAACCTAGTGAGTTCGAGGACAGGCTAGGGTGCGTGAGACCTTGTCTTCAGAACCAAGACACAGCCAAAAATAAAGGCTCCAACAGCTTCATAAACATTTATGTTACCGTGCGTTTCCTAATAAACGGGTACCACGAGTTTCAATGTAACTACGAGAGTCTCCTGTCAGAGGCCTCATGATGCAAACATCCTCTGGACACCTCAACCTGAGCCTTGGGTATGGACCCACCTGGAGAGCATCCTCGCTCCTTTCCAGGTAGGGTCTTAAGGGTTTGGGCACAACACTTTCGGAATTTGGGGTTTTCTCCGAGGCTGTAAGAAGGCCATCAGAGCCACGTGAGTGTGTGGGGAGCTGCAGGACTGTTAGTGACAACAGAGGCCCAGGGCCGTGAAGCCCACCTGGGAAACAGTGCATTTTGATCTTGGGGCGCCCAAGCTCAGCTTCATCTGCCAACCCAGGCCCATCCCAGGCCTCCTACGTGTGGGCGTCAAGGCCCGAACCAGCGATTTTACAAGACTTCCTGGCCATTCTGGGGCCCTGTCGGGGGCGCCGGCCGTAAGGTGACAGGCAGCCACTAAACGCATCTCCGGCTGGTCCCGGAGGGTGACAGAGATGACTCGACGAGGCACTAGTTAAACCGCCTCGCTGACTTGCTTGCAACCTGTTCGGTGACCCGTGGTGATCCCCGGGTACCGGGCAGCGCCCCGGCTTTCGACCCCGCGGCGCACGGCGAGCAATCACAGGGGCTGTTCGGGATTCGGCCGCGCGGCCCAGGAGGGATGCTCCGCGAATCCTCCAGCCGCAGCCAGGCCACCAACTGAGCCTGCAAGAGAGAAAGGAAAGGGAAACCCTGCAGGCAGAGGCGAGGCGAGGGTCTCCGGGACCGCGGGCGGCCGAGCGGAGAGCGGGCCGGGGCGCTGCGCGCGTCCCCACCCGGGCACACCCTGTCCACGGCAGCGCGGCGCTCGGCGTTCTCCGTCGGCGGAGGCAGGGGCGTTCCCGGCTCCCCGCACCTCCTCCGGGAAGGCCCCGAGGGCCCCCGGCCCCACCCCGGGCCCGGCCGCCATCCGGCCGAGCGCCCCGCCATTGTTCGGGCCCCACCCCTGCT